TCTAAGGTTCTTCTGAGGTTCTAATCCAACTTCCTTCTTGAATTCTCCTCCAGTTTGTGATTCAACGTCCGCTGGGGATTCTCCTCCAGATGCTAGTCCTGCATTCCCCTGGAGAAACACTCTGTCCAGCAGGTGGTCCAGCAGCTGGTCTGCATGGTCGGGCTTGGTTCTGACAGTCAGTTTACGACTAGGTTGTTCTGCTGAGATCTGCATCTCGGTGATGTTTCTGAGGAATCAGATCCAACTGATTATTTACACCTAATGAGATGATCAATATTTGTGGTCTCTACATCGTTGTAGCTATATTCCCTAAGGTCTGAATTAGAGAATTTGTTTCATCTTGAAAAAAGAAACACAAGAACTAGCTCTGTCCTCTGGATCCATCCAATCAGACTATACTAGTATAAAAATCCCATTGAAGGGTAATTACACCTTCATATTCTCCTTGAATCCTGCCATCCAGTAAGAGGCTATTTAACACACAGCAAGGTCAGTGGATATGGGAGAGACTAATCACTGCTCAAAGTTACTTTTTGGGTCCTTTTTTTTCCACTGAACGGACAGCCAGACCTTTATGGCCCCTTGAGTCGGTTCCATGTTGGTATCTGTAATGTAACAGATTTTTGTAATTTGGACTATATTATCCAGTAATACCAACAGTAAGATACTATAAAAAAGGTTATAAAACATTCACTGTAAAGGGAAAATCATTTTGAGAAAACATGGGCTCACTAACTTCACTACTTTCATTCATTTTTACGCTAGTAAACCAGCCTGGGAAAAACTGACCAACAGCAGAGGAGATTTCCTTTAAAAGTCATAATTTTAACCTAAGATATCATTTAACCAAATACTTAAATCTATTTAATATCCATCCATCCGATATACTGGCATTATCCTGCAGAGGGCTGCTGTAAGCTGGAGCCTACCCCATCTGATGAAAGGTTTGCCTGAGACTTGAGCAGATCACCAGTTAGGCTAACACATAGAACGAGACAGTCTCAGTTTAGATTCCTCAACTGTGGGAGGAAACCACTGCACCACCTCAACAAGTCTTGAAGTGTCTACACATCTCCAGTATGCAAGCCAAAGACTGACGTCACCAGACTGGTCATGCTTGGGTCAACCATTACATCTGCTGAATTAATGTCAGGCTGCCCTACTTACCAGGGCTATTCATTTTCTGACTAAGGCTCGGCCTCAGTGTGAGCGCTGAAGGGATAAATGCTGCCTG